AGCCCAGGCTGGAGTACAGTGGTGCAATTATAGCTTACTGTAGCCTCGACCTCAGGGGCTTAAAGTGATACACCCACCTCAGCCTTCTAAGTAGCTGTGATTACAGGTGCTCATCACCAAATTTGACTGATGTTTGTATTTTTTGTAGAGACAAGGTTTCACCTATGTTGTCCAGGCTGATCTCAAACTCCTGGGCTCAGGTAATCCACCTACCTCAACCTCCCAAAGTGTTGGGATTACAGGTGTGAGCCACTGCACCCAGCCTGGATGGAATTTCTGCTTTAGAATAAATCATCTGAGGATCCTCTCATAGTGTGCCAATGTCCTTCCTTGATTCAGTGGATACACAGCTATGGATATGGATATTTGCCTACACCCAGATGTCCATGGTATCCCAGGATTTAGCTTCCTGCAGTTAGACACTCTCATTATTGCTCTTTTAAGTAGTTGTATGCTGGAGCTACCTACCAGAGCAATGTCATGCTCTGAGCATAATCTGCTCAGCTAAGGAAAGCATGTGTGACTTCCTTGAGAGCGTGGGTATAAATCCAGCTAGAGATGCTCTCAGAATGCTTCAGAGTCTTAAGACAGGAGGAGGACCTAAGGATTAGATTCAGGCCTTCAGACAACAACAAAGCAGGGTAGCAAACCAAGGGGATGCTCTCTGTGCTTTACGGCAGTGGTTCTCGAGCTGAAGTAGGCATCAGACCCAGTTACAGGGCTTATTAACAGGGCCCCACACCTAGAGTTTCAGATTCAGTAAGTCTCAGCTAAGGCTGAGAATTTGCATTTCTCACAATTTCTTAGCTGGTGCCAATGCACAGAGCCAATGTTCTATTGCTTCTTTCTTTCTGTTTAACCCTTACTACCAGAGTAGGATGGGGCTTTCCCACAGTGAATAAGGCCCAGGCCAGATTACACTTACTCACCAGGACCACTAACCTCATTCATGGGAGTATAGTAGAATTTTGACTACCTACCTGTTCCTGAGGCTGTATCTCATTTTAATTTAGATAATCTAGTCAGTGGATTCCCAGAGTCAGTGAAAGCACCAGTGCTACACTGATTGCATAAGCAAACTTACACTTGTTAAAAATACAGAGCTCCTTTTCCCTGCCCTAGGACATTTTGAATCAGTAGGTCTGGGATGAGGCCTGGGACCTGTGTTTTTAACAATCTCCTGTGATCATTTAATCCACTTCAGATTTATCTGTCCACAGGGCTTGAGTCTTCCTTTCTGTGGTCACACACAACATGTTTCACTAATGTACATTTATTTTGAGTTTGTTTACCAAGAACTTAGACTATACCTTTGGTCAAGGGATTAGCAACCTTTCAAAAGAAGCATGCCCAATATTTCTTTATATAGCTTTTCATCATCAGAGGTGGCAATGCTGGTGGAATGGCCTTTGGTTCAGCACTGCAAAAAAGCCCTGTGGGTACTGAGTTCTTCAAAGAAGCTCTGGTCCTGGCATGTTTAGAAGTTACTGTGTGCACACAGGTAACCCACTCAGCTGTTCCAGAGGAACAAGGTCTTCGCCTTTTAGGTATTAACGTGTGCGGTTGCACCACTGTAGGGGTTGGCAAAAAGTGGGGAGGGCCCTCGCATAAGCTGATAAGTTTAGTCATTTCCTCACGCAACAGATAATCACCGGGTATCTGCTCTGACTCAGACAAGGAGGTATCCTCTCATAATCAAAAGATAAACAAGAAATAGTTTCTGCCCTCAAGGATTCCACAATTTGGAATCCTAACTTCAGATGCTATCTCCTTACCTCATTTGGCACGTGCATTTGTGCCGGTATACATACCTTTTTCAGCACATAAGCTCATTTGACGCATGTGCCAAGGATTGCCAGTTATCTTATACACACACACAGCCTTAAAACAAAAAAACACCAATATCCACGTTGAGTTACTAACTCTAGCATCAACTGCAAAATTTTATTTTAGGTTGCAGTTCACACAGTTGCCTTTCAAAAATTTTCTTTATGCTGTTGTTAGTTCTCTGTGCTGGAGTTGGTCCACAGTCCATTGGAGGAAAAAACAATTGTATTTATTGTTGTATTAGGGAGAGGAAAATTCCCCTTTTTATAGAGGTGTAAACATATATTAATGACTAGATACTAGACACAAAATTTTAAATTAATACAATACTAGACACATTATTGTTTATGACTATTTGTTACACTGGTTCTAAATGAAAATATTTTACATTTATATACAATGGATTGCTTTATATTAAAATTTACATGATGCTCCTGTCTTCTCACGTTTAAGTCAGTCGTCAAAGGATGCTCAATCTAGCTATATTTTTTCTGGAGATGAATATAGTGAATCATATAGTTTGAAGGTGTTACCAGCCCTCTTTGCTTTTAAGAAAGAAAAAATGCACTGTGGAAATGCTGTCTCTCATTTTTAAGGTCATTGATTGGGTTAAAAAGGCAAATGACGTTTTTCGTTGAACTTCCTTCAATTAAGCCATTAACCTTTTAAAATAAGTGCATTCAAAAATCTATCAAAAAAAAGCTAAATGAGATTTTAACAAAATCCTGACAATTTCAGCTTAAACATATACACAGAAACCATATGTGCTTAGAAAGAAATATATACACACAGGCATTGTTTACAGAGTGTGTTTTTATATTTGGAAGACATTGAAGGAAGAGTTATTCCATACATACATTATCTGAAATGTACATTCAGATAGCCTACATAGATTTCACATTAAGAGACAAAGATATCTTTATCCATGGTAGGTAGATAGACAGACTGACTGACTTCAAACTTGCACTTGCAGTGTGGATTTTTTTTCCTCATCTCCGGGTACTGCTTTTCAAAATCGCCTCAGGCTACAGAACAGCACCTCAGATCCCCAAGGCCCACTGCCTGGCTCCTAATAGCCACTCTCCATCTGTGTCACATGAACAGCTGATGAGATCGCTCCAGTGTCTGTATTTTGGAGAGCACATCCACCCAGGTTAAAATGCTAGGGTTGCCAAGGAGCAGTCAGAAGCCATTAGTGTGGGTGAGAATTTGCCTTGCAGCAGTTCCTTGGCATGGTGGAAAGCGTGTACACGTGTCCCCGCACGAGCTTGGGTGTGTGTATATATGTGTGTGTGTGTCTTCTTGTCCAGGCGACCTTCTGGTGTACATGGGTGTGCAGGGAGGGTGACAGATGAAAACTAGACTCTGTATATTCAGTATTGAAAGAATCAAACGCCTCTTGTTTTTCTGTATACTGATTTGTTCTTTGACTATATGGGGTCTTTATTATTATTATTATTATTATAACAGAAGGCAAAGAAAAAGAGAACAGCAACTACGGGGTCATGCTCTAGTGTTTGGGCAGATGGAAGGGAGCTGCTTTGCCTTGGGGCAGGGTGGTTGTAATGAAGTGGCCTGTCAGTCTGTAAATAGTGAGGGTCATCTCTTCCATGTGATGGAGGGTATCGCATTGCAGTGAAAATGGAAATGTCAATAAAATTAATCTGCCAGCTCTTTGCTGTGGCTTTTCTGCTTCTCTGGTCAAAGAAGGTTGAAGGCTTTTTTGGTAAGAAGGGAAAAGCACAGGTACAGGGAAGACCACAGAGCAGACCCAGAAGTTAGAAGGCAAGTGGCCCAGTGGGCAGGATGGCTGTGCTGTAGCACAGTCCGAGAGGAGGGAGCAGGGCTGGGAATGAGCTGCCAGTTCTCTCGTATTCCTCGGGAAGCTACAGAGCGTCCAGCTCAGGCTACATTGAGCACAGAGTTTATTGTTTTAGGCTTTCTTGGACAAGGTTTTTACTTAGCATGGGATTTATGGCATTTACTGCTAATGAATGTCTATTCTTAAATTACAAAAACCCCCATCTCAGTGCAATTCCCAGATGTCCTTCCAGGACCCTGGCTTCTTAAACACCAGCAGGGAGCATAAACTCTCTACTTCTCTGTTTTCCTCTTTCGTGTGGCTCCAGGCTAATGATGTGCAAGGAAAACACAGCCATCTATAAAGCCCCAGTGCTGTCCCCGTATTCTTCATTTATTTTGCATTTGATTATGCCACAAGTCGGATCTTGTTTCTTTCCTTTTTTTAAAGTTATTAGTTCAAATATTAATGTAGGGATATGGCATATATTGCTGCTCTTGATTGATGCCTTCCCAAAAACAGGAAGACGTGCTCGTATGAATTTTAAGAAAGTAGGGGTCCTGCAATGCCTTGCCAGAAGAGTTTTTCAGATACATAATTTAGATGCCCTGCAGGCAGGCTTTCAAGGCATTTTTGCCGGAGGGCAAGAAAAAATAACTATGACTGTTAAAAGTAAATGATTTTTGCTAATGCACAATTAATGCTGGAGAAAAGCACAGAAGAGAAAGATGTTGATAGAAACTTCTGATTAAGTGAGCACCCTACCTTGATGTGTATCTTTTTTTTTTTTTCATGATAATGATCAGTGGTGCGGAGAGCTAAAAGTTTTCATGTCATGCAAATGCCGAGTGCAGGGTCATAGGAGAAGTGTGTGAATGTGCGTGCTTAGGAGGTGACAGCTCTAGGAGGGGCTGAGCAGGCAGTGCGTTATGTGCAATGAACAGTGACACAGTTACTGTCACCTATGCAGGCAGCCTAGAATATATAGACTACAGAACATTTAACTTGATTGCCCTACAGTATGTGTTCACTCTGGGCATGGGGATGCGTTTCCACCCAATGGGTTTTCTGATGGCGGTTTTCCCACATTGGATTCCATAATTGACAAAGAGCTACTGCGCTGTGTCAAGTGCACAATTATAATTGAATTAATGATATGGGCAAGTGTGAGACACACAAAATTAACATTTGAAGAGGCCTGGTTTAATTTTGTCTTTTACATATTTGTGTCTCCAATTATACTTTAATGAAAGAGAATATACCCGCTTAATGGATTTCTTTCAACAAGCTTAGCTGAGCTCATCATTAGCTGCACTTGTTGTTGGCACCCTTGCGATGTTTTCTCTAATGTATTTTTATTTCTTTCTACTAGGGGATGGTTTAGACAACAGTGTAGCTTCACCTGGTACAGGTGATGATGATGATCCGGATAAGGACAAAAAACGCCAGAAGAAAAGAGGCATTTTCCCCAAAGTAGCAACAAATATCATGAGAGCATGGCTCTTCCAGCATCTCACAGTAAGTCAAGATGAAAGAGAAAAAAAAATAGTTTTTGTTTTGCTAGCAAGTTATTCGGTTTCATACAGATTGTTTTTTAAATTAAGGTGCCTATTTTCTTATTCTTGAAATCTGATGACTAACAGGGCAGTTGAGGTTTTTATCAACTATTACCATCCAAAGAGCACCCTCTAGAAAGTAGCAGGTTTTTCTTTTAAGAAGCTGGGAATGGACTTTATTCAAAATGGTCTAAGACCCTGAACCACAGATATAAGTAAATTTGTTATTTATGCTAAAAGGTATGAGAGCAACTTTGGGTAACGCAACAGCAACCGAGGGAAATGGGTGTAAGGAGCTCACGAATCCATAAACACTGTTGATTACACTATTAATGAAAGCCATCTCCTCTAGGAGGCAAAAAAAAAAAAAGAAGCACCTTGCCACATGCATGTCCAGGATCACAGTATCAGGTGCAGCTTTAATTCTTGAAGCAGTTTGCAAATATGTCATGTGTTTACATGATAAATTCAGAAGGGTTATAGGTGCTATAATGCCTTTGTTTGCAAGGTGGACATTAAAGATTCTTGTTTTAGCTGTTCAAGTCCATTATCTTAAAAGCTAACCCTGTTGGTTTTACTATGTGCAATATTTTTAAAGTAACAATTTATCTTCCTGTTTGCAATCCTTGTATGTGTGGATACAAACTGTTGACTCTAAGACTCTCATGACAAAAAAAAATTATAATATACTTTAACAGAGAAACTAGGCATGCTCATATTTTATTGTTCATTTGGAAATTCTGGGAAACCCGGAAAAATTTCAGAGGATGCTTCTTGCTATAATATTGTTTTCAGGCCATTCTGTTTAGGCTAATACTTCAAAATAGGGTAGCAGCAATTGAAAGCTGAAGGTCTCCTTTGATTATCCAACTTGTGCGTTGCCATGCTGAATGACATTAGTTACAGTGTCATGGGTCCAGGACAAGGTTCCACTTTTATTTATGGTGGTGGCTGCTGATCTGCTCTTCTTGCAGAGCTACAAAGGGCAAGGGGTGGAGCGGTGGTGGGGAGGGAAAAGTGATAGATTCACATTCCTAAATCGGCCATTTTGATGTAAGGACATTAGTAGCAAACTAAGGTGTATCGATCTGGCCTGTGGTGTCAGGATTAGCTGGGAGAACCAATGGGGCTGCCGTGGCAGTGGTTATTCTTGCCTTGCAGCTATGGCCATTTCAAAGGTCAGGGCCCTGCACTGACTCGGCTCAGAGGAATTAGACTGAACATGCGGTCTCTGGGCTGATTACTTAACCAAAGACAAAATAATGAGTCCTAAGCAAATACTGACTAATTGAAAGGGCTGTAAATCCATTACATATTGGTCAGGGATAATCAGGAGTATTTAATCACTTTTATCTATTCAGGAGCACTGAAGCTGCAACAGCAAAGCCCTGAACCTTGCCATGTGGTTATTATTCTCATCATTATCAAAATTACTTCACAGCTGTTCTTTGCTACATCACCTCAGCTGGAGATTTACTAACCTGTAAAATGTTTTTAATTTGGAAGTCGAGTGAGTGTGAGGGGAGGGGTTTCTCATTTTTAAATGAAGGTTGGTTTGGTTAGAGTAGCAACTAAGAACAGCAGCGTAGCTGCGGATGACAGGCCAGCTGCCTTTTCCTGACCAGCTCACCTGGTTGGTTCCCTCCCTCTGTCTCCCTTCATGCTTGGTCTTTCTTGGTCGAAAATATAGACTTCAGCAGCTGCTCTCCACGCAAACAGCTACATGTGTTTTCAACCTCTCTGTCATCAAAACCAATGTCAGAGAACAGTAGAACCTTAGAGAATGCAGCTGCTGTGTTTACAGATGAGGAAACAGATCCAGAAAAGGAACTGACTAGCCGAAGGTCAAGCTGAGGCAAGGACCCAAGCCTCCCAAGTTCCAAACTTTGTGATTTTTCCACATTATGATGACTTTGCCAAAATGATGATCACCTTTAACAGTTGCATAGAAATCTCACAGTCTTCACCATCAGTATGCTCAGAGTCACAAGGGAGAAACATGGAGAAGCCAGGTGCTATTTTCTTTTCTTGTTTTGAAAGCTGCCTGCTACCCCAACCTTCCCAAATAGAGAACACCTTACACCTGTAGTCTGTGAGTTGACTCTCAGGTGGGAATGTCAGAAGTCCTTAATGCCTTATCTCCCACCCAACTGCCCAGGGCAGCACCCAGCATGCACCATGGCCACAGGCTGAGAATTGTGGGTGGCCGGTTATTTCTGGGCGCGTGTTGTAACTCTGCTGTGCTACAAACCAATGGTAAGAGCTTGTACTCATCTCGAGAGTGCTTTCATGTAGTTGAATGTATGCAAGGCTTTGTACAAAATTCTCGGTCCAACTACAATTTGTAATGAATGCCTGTCCTCCAGGTGGGGAGAGAGGACTCAAATAGGCTATGCCCGGGATGTTGGGAAGTCTGCATTTCACACTGTAATGCTCTCTACTGGCTGAACCTCAGTGAAGGCCCTTCAGTTCCCTGGACCTTCTGTTTCCCTGTTTTTCAGATGAGAGGGACACGTTGCCGGATGGATAAGCTCCTTTCCCATGCTCCTGTGTTTCGGTTCTGCTCAAGGACATTTAGTCAGAGCAATGCCCTGTCACAGCCTCATGGGTCATTCTTTCCGCTTTTTCCCCCTTTCTCTTTGCTTTTGCTTTTCACTAAGTGCTTTATTTCTCTCCTGACCTTTTTCCCAACATGCCCCTTTCATTACTTCTCCCACTGGCTTTGTCTCCCATCTTTTTCTCTGCGTGGCTCCCCTGCCTTTTCTGCACCTCCCTTGTAGCCTAAGGAAATTCCCTGCTTGCTCTTCGAAAATGTTTTCCTTCTTCATCCACACTTCACCCCACTGCAGAGAAGAGGTTCAGTAACTTTGATGAGGTTGGTCCTGAAACACTTTTACTTTCCAATCTTTAATGAGCTGAAAGATTTACTCAGCTATAATTCTGAGCTCAGAAACCAAGAATAGAGACCCCTAACTAGCGACATGTTAATTTAGATTTCTTTTCTTACATGCACTAACAGGCATGAGGAAGTCCTTGGAACTAGAGATGCCCCACTATATTTTTCTGTCATTTAATTAATTTCAACTTTCAAAGTGAAATGTTGGCTGTGGCTCACTGAAAATAGATGTAGTCTAAATTATTATTTCATGTAAATTTCTTTACAAGTGCATGATTCAATGTGCATTCCTCCATTATTACTCTCTTTAACATGATTTGAAACCGGTTTGTTCCCTTTTGTGCAGTGTGACCTGTTCTTGTATTACAATAATCCCCGATGTACCCTTTTTTCTTTCTTTTTTTAAAAAAGAAGCTAATTGAATTATCTCATTATTTTAATTTGTTAAGCAAATGTATTTTGCATCTCAGGATGTGTTCTTAAAGAAGGGGGCTGCTAAGGCTTTGCCCCCTGAATGGGCCATTGGCCCATTTTGACATTCATGCATTCATTAACTAGCAGAACATAAAAGAACTCTGGCTGTATTTTTTTTTTCCAAACACCCAACCAGCGTGGAGCAACTTTTCCCAATAAGCCACAGGGGTCTTTCTACATATGTTCTCAACTGCAAGCTATTGTCACCTATTCTGAATACCTCAAAAGGCCCAGAGGTGAAAAAAAACCTGCCTCAACAAAGACCAACTGTAGCAATTGTTAAGTCTTAGTCTCAATATGACAGAAATCATTCACCCTCAATTTTCTTGGAAGAACAAGTTCCGCTATGACTGTAACAGTTAAAACAATCTCTCAAATTCCTATGCACCACCAACTTTAGGGGAAAAGGTAACAAACTTGCACTAATTGATTACACTGAGGAAAATATTTAAACAAAGTCTAAAGTGGCATTTAGGAAATCAGGTTATTTGATAAACAGTTTCCATAGTCAGAATTAAGCACTTTGAATTTGCTTAATCTGGGGCTAAATATTAATAATTAGCCTCAAGTTTTTAGTTTCAAAACGTCCCTTAGAAAAATCCCCTCTTTAAAAACTCACAGAAATTTTAACAAAATAAATCTATCTATGCATATTTTTAGAAAATCCACTAGTGAAAACGTTGTGTATACCATTACCTTCTTCCATTGGTTGATGGTTCTGCCTAACTCCTCAAGCTAAGAAATCCAGTGAAGATGGAAGAATCTCTTGGAAATGGGTGTGCCTTGCTGAAAAGTACTCAGTGGCAAAACAAGCAAACAGACAAAAACTTAGGGAACTCCTACAGAAGTACATTCCTTTTGCGAACACATGGAGATTATGTTATCATAAAAGTAAGCCTGCCATTACAACTGTTTTTATTTCACTTCAAAGCTGAAGAAAGAAGCAGCAAGCAATAATACCCAGGCTGACAGTTTATTCATAACCCTGAAAAACTCCTCCACGCCAAGAAGCCCTTAGTGTGCTCAATTAGGCCCTCGGGCACCTCCACTTGCCACCTTCAAGAGCTCCTCCACTTGTGCTACAAATAATATATTTGATCATGGAATAGAAACAGGAAGTGCTCACACACAAAGACACCACTTGCTCATACCAGTTTCTGGCTAAAGGTCTTCGTATTTGAAAACATAGGGATAAAGCTCATACTTAGGAGATGTGGGACTTCTTTCAAAGATGTGTGTTACAATGTCAGAAGCAAGTTTTACTTTTAAAAGCGATATAAGCCAAGGTGGGAGGATCACTTGGGGCCCAGAGTTTGACACCAGTCTGGGCAACATAATGAGATCCCATCTCTACAAAACAATAACAATTTAGCTGGTATGGTCTCACACATGCCTGTGGTCCCTGCTCCTCAGAAGGCCAAGGTGGGAGGATTATTTGAGCCCAGGAGTTTGAGGCTGCAGTGAGCTAGGATGGAACTACTGCCCTCCAGCCTAAGCGACAGAATGAAACTCTATCTCAGAAAAAAAAAAGTGATATAATACTATGTATGCAGCCATCCTGAAACTGCAGATTCTAAAGCCTCTGCCTTTTG